GCAGCGGCGATGTCTTGGGAGCTCGGCTCGGCGGCAGCGCCAGGGGGCGCGTCGGGCGGGGTCGAGAGGTCGATCTCGCCCTGCGGCATGGCCCCGAATGACCTCGCCCAGCGGACGCGCTTTGGCAAGTTGGGGAGGGGCTCGCTGGCCGCCGCACCACTGCCGCCCTCGGCGTCGTCAAGGAGCTCCCTCTTCACCGCGAGAGGCACGGGCGCGGCCCCCATGTCCAGCAGCGCCTTCATGAAGCGGAGCTGCTTGTCCGTGAGCGCGCGGTGCTCCCCGGCGTCCCGCATCGCGCCGTCCTTGATGTAGTCGTACAAGATATTGCCCGCCGCCGCGGTGATGTACTGGCCCACCTTCGGAGCCCCCGTCGCGTCCGAGTCCAGCCCCGCCAAGCGCTCGAACGCGTCATCGGGGGTGTTCACGACCACGGAGGACCGCTTCAAGAGGGCCGCGACGTTCGCCTTGGACATGTCCTTGGGAAAGGTACGCTTCAACATGTCGAACAAGTACTGGTTCCGCTTCTTCTTGGCCTCAGCTGGAGACAATACGCACGCGCCGCGCCATGCGTCCATGGTGGGAACAGCCGTCTCGTCGTACATGTTCTCCGCGGCGAAGCGCGCCTGACCGCGAACGAATTTGGCTGCCCCCCACCGCTCCCTCGTCATCGCCTGGAACTGGCCGACGTCCAAGAAAGCCTTCAGCGTCTTCGGGCGCTGCATAAGTCGCCATCGTCGAAGACGCACGGGCAGTTCTTCGTGCCCTCCTCAGCCCTGAAGAAGTCTAGGTCTGGCGCCTCTCGGTGCGATGCCAAACTGCGGTCGCCCTGCTTGTCCGCGTGGTAGTCGGCCATGGCGAATGCCATCGTCATTAGGTACGGCGTCTTCCTCTCGCCAGGCTCGACGACCATGAGGCAGGAATGGATCTTGAAAGTAGGAACGAGGCGCTTCGCGCGCTCGACGCCCTCGTCCCCCGAGTCGAAGATGAAGATGGGGTGATACGTGATCTTCTTCGCTTGAATGCTCTGATCCCTGATGTGCGAGAGAACCTCCTTGACCTTCCCCCCCTTCCAGTTGTGGACGGGGCTCTGCGGGTCGTTCAGCTGGAAGTCGATCCACATCACCTGCTCGCAATCGAAGTTACCGCGCGGGGCGTTGTCCTTAATAAACTGGCACTGGGAAACAATCACGTCCTGAGGAATGCACTTATTCTTATCTTTTGCGCCCTTCGCCTGTGGGGGTAAGTGGTACCGAAAGTGCGTGCCACTGAGCCGATCCATCATGTAGACCAAGACTTTCCACGGCGTCTTGACGTCACCTCCCTTGCCCCAGGATAGCGCGTCCAATACCTCGCCATCGCACAAGAGGCGACTCTCGACATCGACCAACGGCTGCGGACCCGAGAACAGAAAGTACTTGATGATGTCTGCGCCCTCGCCATCGCCCGGGGGCGCTAGCACCACCTGCATCGTGTACAACGCTTCCCGACCTGTTCTGGGGCGCAGAGGCTCTGGCAAGCCATTGTAGTCGTTGACCAGCATGGCCTCCCGTGCCGCGGCCAAGTCGATGTCCCCCTGGTAGTTCAAGACAACGGCAACAGCATGCTTTACCTTCTTGCACCCCTCAGACGGCATGATGGGAAGATCCCCTACAGTGTAGAGCGCTGGGGGGTCGTCATGGATTCTTCTGGGTGCGTCGTCGTGTGGTACATCGGGACGGCCGAGTCGTGGCCGCGGACCCTGTCGAAGACCTGCACGATCTTCTCGCTGTCCGCCCCCTCGACCTCCAAGTGCACCTTCAGGGACTTCATCCCAAGGGCGGGGACGTTGGCCATGAGCAAGGATATATCAAGGGCTTGTGGGCGTGCGAAAGTGTTCGGACACTCTGAAGCCTGATCACTAGCGGCGGCGAGGCAAAGCGGGGGCGGGGGTTGCCACATGCGGGCGGGGGCTAAATCAACGACGACGAAGCGACGACGGCGACGGCTGCTCCTGATCAGACCATTGCGGAGGGGGGAACCTCCATGTCGGCAGACTACGCAACTTTCGAACATCTTAGAACAAACATGCGAGCTGCACGGCTAATACTGCATGCGAGCGAGCCGCACCTCCCACCCCCCCTGTGTCTGGTCCTGGACCACATACCTTGATCGGCCGATTGGCAGACCTGGACAGCAGACGACGGGGAGAGAAATAATATGAGCATAAAGAATATGATGACGACGCCGACAACGTGTTCTGAAAGATGGCGTTTGTGGTTGCTGATATGGTTCCCGTCGTTAGCATCGTCGGGGCAGGCAGTGTAGAATCGATATGTAGCTATACTTACGGAGGGGCAGCGCTGGCCGCTGGCTGCCCCCTCGCCGAAGTGGCCGCCCGCTCACTCAGTCACTGCAGGCGGCGGCGCGAGCCGCGGAGACCGAACAGCGGGCCCACGTGCATGCGGTGGTTCGGCTGCACGCCACCAGCCTCGGTCGCGCCAGCCGCAGCGGCGGCGGGGGGCGGGTGGGTGGGGGGAGATAGAGCGGGCAAAGATGTGGGGATATGGGTGCGGGCGGCAATGACAATAGCAACAGCAGCCGCCGCGGCATCAATGGCAGTCGCAGCGGCAGTTGCAGCGGCAGAAGCAACGTCGCGGCAGCAGCAGCAGTGGCGTATCAGTGACAACCGCTAGAGCCGAGGTCGCCGACCGATCTCCGCCGCCGAGATCTGCCCGATCGCCAACCAATCGTCGGGCGCGCGCGCGGGCGAGCGCCCCGCGTTAAAGACCGCTGTGCGGTGGGGGGTAGGCCGAGCGACTGCTGCGCGATCCATTCCATCCTGCTCCACGTGGTGGACCAATCGACCTCCGTCGCGTCGTACCAGTGCGGGTAGTCGGGGGAGGTGAGCGCCACGGTGCACGTGCGGTCGCGGACGTCGTGGTGGATGCATTCCGCGAAAACTTCGATGCATGCGTAATCGCGGACAATGGTGTCGCCCACTGCGGGGTCGCCCGACACCCACAGCGGGCCCGCGAAGCCTGGCGCCAAGAATGGGATCCCAGTCTTCTGGAATTGGATGAAAGCGGGCCAGATGCACACGGTGAGCTTGTCCTGGGGCCAACAGAACATGCACTGCTCACTGCCCCAATTCGAGGTTGGGCGGTTGGGGAGGTTTCATTTAAACAAAGTAGACATGGGTTTCCTCCGCCCCCGTCCTCGCCCGCGGCCAAGCGCTGCGACTGCGCTGGCCCAATCTCGCGCCACGCCGAGTCGGGTGGCGCGAGGTTGCCAGGCGCAGCGTGGGGGAGGAACGCGCACTCGAACGCCATGGCCCGAGAGTTGCACTGGGCTCGAGGCTGGGCGGGGATGCCAGATCACTCTGCAGGGGCCCGAGCACTCGCGGCGACGGAAGGCGGGTGGGCGGGCGGGCGGGAAGTGGCTAGACCTGCCGACGGCGACGACGCGACGACGACGACAGCGACTATACCTCATCACATGCACCAGAGAGTGGGCGAGTCCCGTGCGAGCATTGAGGCCTGCAAAAGGGAGGCACAGAGAGGGGCGCTGGGAAGGGAGGGGCGACTGGGGGGGCAACGACGACGACGACGCATCACCCGTTGTCAATGAACCTGACCAGCCTTGGCGACGCATCACTAACTGCTGACCCTGTGATTGACCAAAACAGCTACGAGCAGAAGGATGTCGACAAGGACGTTGTCATTGCTGCGAGGTGGCAAGGCTGGCGACGGCACACGTGAATTCAATTGTTTTTCGCTAGTCTTGACGTCATAGAGCAAGTCGAAACCCATAGGTGTAAGTGCGCACATTTCGCTTGGGCACACTCGCAATGCTGGCCCAGCATGCCGCAACGCAGAAAGCATTCCACCCTCGGCGAAAGCAATGGCACTCCTACCCTCAATCGTTTCTGGTTGTGTGCACGGCCTCGCCTACTCATAAGCGCCCTGCCGTGCGCCGCAATGCCTGCCGTCTACAAGCTAACACCGCTACGCGATGTCATCCCCCCTCAAGCGGCCGAACATCTTGCCAGTCTCCAGCCGCAGGTCCTCGTTGGCGTGCCAGTACGCCCACTGGGCCGATCGGACTCTGGCGTTCAATGACACCGAGCCCACGGAACTCTTCCTGGTCTTGATGAAGCCGCGCAAGTGCCGCCAGAACCTGTCGATAATCTGGGCCCCGCCCTTGCACTTGAGGACTCGTCCGCCAGGAAGTTTATGTTGAAACTTCTTAGCGTACGTGGGTTTCACCCACACCTGGCGGCCGTCCTTCTTCACGGGCTTGCCATTCTTCATTAGCCGCTTCCTCTGGTGCACGACGTGGTCGTGGAGCATCCCTTCGACCTTGACCTGGTACGTTTTTGCCCCGTCCGTGTGGAGCACAACGTTCCTGTTGCTCAAGTTCTTGTGCGCGAGCGGCGTCCAATCAGGCAAGCGTATCGCGCCTGGGCCTGGCGCCCTCTGCTTGGTGAGACTTGGCTTGAGGCGCGTCAGAACCAATGTCTTGCGGTTGCCTCTTTCGATGACACCGCCCCACTGCTCCCACTGGACCCGCCCGTTCTCAGCTCGCTCCGCGTGGTCGGGAAGTAGATCGCTCCTGAGGTCGACCTCATCAGCCTCGACATCTTTCCACGTCCGCCCCTTTCCTCCGAAAGTGATCAGTTTCTCCTGCTGCTGCACGTCGCTCCTTCGGCACGCGTCATTGAACTTGTTCATGCTCTCGATCGCCTTGTGGTTCTTGCCCGTGAGCGCATGGATCTTGGCAAGAGGGACGCTGTTCACGACAGCGAAGAGCACGGCGGACTGTTCCTGCAAGGGCACCGCGGCAGAGCCAGAGCCGCTGCTGAAGACCATGTGCCCGCTCTGGGGCAAGGTGAACTTTTGGCAGCCCATGTGGTTGCAGCGGTACCGAGGTCCACGGCCCTGGACGTCCTTCAGGGGGCCGAGGGTTCCTTTCGTGCAGAAAGAGCACGTCTGGCCTTCCAAGTTCTCCAAGACCTGGTCCTCGAGCAACATGTCGACGATCTCGCGGTCACTGGCGCGTATGACGTCGAACACGTTCCTCTTGAAACCAACGCGCCCCAGCCTGGACGTGCAAGTTCTCTTGCCGTGCCGCACGTAGGGCACCTTCCTCGCACTCTGGCTTGGCGCCGGCTTTTTCGCCATTGTCTTTCCCGTGTGCTTCGGGGCTTTCCGCTTGGGCTTCCCCGTCTTCAGGACAGCGCGCGCCTTGCCCCGCTCAGGCGCAGGGAAGACGCGCCCAGACGCCATGGCGCGGCTCTGACCGATGACCCTGGCCAGGAACGGGCAGGCGCACCTGAGCCCCTGGCGCGCTGATGCGCTTGAGCATTCATGTGCGATGCGCAGGTTTGGCATAGCTCCCCCCCTCCCCCACCCCTGCTGGGCCCACTCCTGGGCCCCTTGCTGGGACTCAGCTCTTTTCTTGGTGAACTCTGTGATGCGAATACTTGACTCATCATGCACAATGAATGAGCATGTAAATTGGGTTCCACTCGCCACGGCAACGCCGCGGTCACTACGCAATTGGCAATACGAACTACAAACAGAACGAACACTAATCATCCCGATTATCCCGAGGCACCGGCAACGATGCAACGGCGTCGGTTCGAATCGCGACGGTGGCGATGCCGATGGCAATGACAATTGCGACGTGATCCCTGCTTTTTTTTCATACAAGTCGTGAGGATGTGAGCGATCGAACCATTGCAACCGAGTGAGATCTCGCATCGGCCCGCCAACGCGCCTCGCGGCCAACGCACAGCGCGCGGGCGTTGGAAAATAACATGCACTAGAAAATTCCTGCCTTATGCGAAGCAATCAATGCTGATGGCGCTTGCAAAAGTGAGCCCCTGGCACGGCAGCCTTGTGGCATGGCGCGCTCGCAACGAAATGGCAGCGCGGCGCGCCCCGCCCGCCGCGCGCGTGCCCGTGGTAGTTTGCGAGCACACGCAAGTAGCGGTGAGCGAGGGCGCGCGGGAGATAGAGGGTCACACACTCGCAGAAGTCGGCGAGCGCGTGCTCGCCCCACGGCAAGTCCACGCCGATGAGACAGCGCGGCGTCCACTGCCACAGCGCGCACGCAGCCTGGCACTCGCTGTATCCAAAGTGAAAGCGGCTGTCGAGGAGATGGTGATGCACCCACTGTGACTGGAGCATGTCCCTAGCGGTCTTCACGTGAAACGGCCCCCTTCTGCCCGCTGACCAGGCAACGGTCCAATCGTGCGTGGGAGTGATATCTTCCATGCGCGACTTCCCGTTCGTCTGGGCGCTTTGGCCCAGGGCAGCGAGATGCGGCGACGTGAAACGCATCATCGCTAACTGGACAATGCGGGATCCCGAGAGAAGCTGAGGCACGCCCCAATCACTGAAGCCGTACAATAGATCGCCATCCTCGTTGTTCCACACGTCGTAGATGGACCCGCCGCCGCTGGCAATGGACATAGCCGTGGTCGGATCCGCGATGAGGGCGTCCGCTTGCCCGTACTCGAAATCTGTCCAAGGATGCACTGGAAGTGGCGGAAGCGGCACCGCGCGCAGGTGATCATCTCGCGGCGGACCCTGCTGCGAAGCCGCCGCGTCGCCGCCGCTGTTCAGCCACCAGGCCATGCACCGCTTGTGGTTCTTGGATTGCCGATGGCCGTTGTCGGCCCACTTGGGGCAGGCCAAGCACCAGGGCCACGTGCCGCCGCCAGGCCAGGCGCGCATCTCCTCCCCGTGCTGGGCCGTGGACTCGTCCTCCCAATCGCCGCCATGGCCCGGCCCCCAGCCAGGCTGCGCGGGCGCGCGCGCGGCGGTCGCCGAATCGGGCGTGGACGCAGAACCCTGCGTCGACCACGTCCGCGCGCCGCCACCGCGCGGGATCTCAGTGGCCCTGTTGCGCTTGACCGACGCCACGCGGTCGGGCAACGCCGCTGCCTGCCGCGGCCCGTCCCACTCGAGCGCGCGGCCTTCTCGCCCGTTGAGCTCGGGCTGACCTTCCAGGTTGACAAGGCGCACCGCGCTGCCCGCGGGCACGGGCCGAAGCGACTCGCAATGAGCCTGGCGCTTGGCAGGGTCGTTGAGCGTCGCGTTGGCCTCCCCGAGCTCCTGGAACGCGCTCCTGTCGCCGCCCTTGTCCGGATGCAGCTTCAGCGCCAAGCGCTTGTGCGCGAGCTTCACTTCTGCCGGCGTAGCGTGAACCGTCAGATTGAACAGCTCGAAGGCGTCCATCGGCATGCCGAGCGGAGGGTGGATCAAGCCAGGTGATGGTTGCGCACAGCGGCACCGCTTTGAGCCTGAACGGCCACGGCATACATTGTCAGGTGTCGATGATCAATCGACAACAACGCGGGTTCCTTGCTGGGCCTCTGGACAGGTCCTTTGCTGGGTCCCCTGGCTGGGTTCCCTGCTGGGTCCCCTCCTGGGTCCCTCTCCTGGGTTCCCTTGCTGGGTCCCCTGCTGGGTCCCTTGCTGGGTCCCTTGCTGGGTCTCCTCCTGGGCCCCCTGCTGGGTCCCTTTGCTGGGTCCCCTGCTGGGTCCCTTTGCTGGGTCCCTTTCCTGGGTCCCCTCCTGGGTCCCCTGCTGGGTCCCTTTGCTGGGTCCCCTGCTGAGTCCCCTCCTGGGTCCCTCTCCTGGGTCCTCTCCTGGGTCCCTCTCCTGGGTTCCCTTGCTGGGTCCCCTGCTAGGTTCCTTGCTGGGTCCCCTGCTGGGTCCCCTCCTGGATCCCCTGCTGGGTCCCTTTGCTGGGTCCCCTGCTGGGTCCCCTCCTGGTTCCCTCTCCTGGGTCCCCTCCTGGGCCCCCTCCTGGGTCCCCTGCTGGGTCCCTTTGCTGGGCCCCCTGCTGGGCCCCCTCCTGGGTCACTCTCCTGGGTCCCCTCCTGGGTCCCCTGCTGGGTCCCTTTGCTGGGCCCCCTGCTGGGCCCCCTCCTGGGTCCCTCTCTTGGGTTCCCTTGCTGGGTCTCTCTGTTGACAAAACAAAAAACACCCGTGCAGATAGGACGAGCGCACAGACAAGACTAAAACAAGAGGTCAAGCCAAAAAAAAATTGGCTTGGACTTGGTCGCGCTCGTCGTCGTTGTTCCCTGTGACGTTTCTTACCCGTCACCTGTTCGACATCTTGAGCCCCGCAGATATGACGAATGCACACCCAAGACTATAACAAGAGGTCAAGCTAAAAAAATTGGTTGGGACTTGGTCGCGCTTGTCGTCGTTGTTCCCTGTGGCGTTTCTTACCCATCAAACGCATTATTTTGCTCGCAGAGAAAGTTACCTGTTCGACATATTGAGCCCCGCAGATAGGACGAACGCACACCCAAGACAATAACAAGAGGTCAAGCCAAACAAAAATTGGTTTGGACTTGGTCGCGCTTGTCGTCGTTATTCCCTGTGGCGTTTCTTACCCATCAAACGCATTATTTTGCTTGCCCAGGAGGGGGCCCAGAAGAGGACCCAGGAGGGGACCCAGAAGAGAGACCCACGAGAGAACCCAGCAATGGTCACTTTCTTCTCGGGCGTTTCTGTCGTTTTGATACCATTGAACCATTCTGGAAAATATGGTTTATCCCCAGGGCGCGCGGGGCATGGAAAATGCAACGGGTCGACAACTAGGCGCGCACATGCCTCATAGACAGGTCCGCGACATCGCGTTCTCTCGAATGCTACTGGACGTCTGTGCCCTCCAGGACGCAGCGCGCTCGATCTTCGCGACCTCCTTCGGAACCCCGCGCGTGGCCCCGCGGGGTCCACGAGGTCCCCCGCCACCCCTCTTGCGCACAAGATTTTCATCATTGTCCTCCCCAGGCTCCCCCCCCATCCTGCTCCTCGTACTCCCCTCCTCCACCTCCTCCTCCTCCTCCTCGTCCTCCTCCTCCTCCTCCTCCTCCCCCTCCTCCTCCTCCTCCGCCTATTTTGGCTCGCTTCCCAGTCCTTCTCTAGGTCCTGGACAGCGACGGAGTGCTTGGCGGCGATCTCCGCCGCCTTCGCTGCGGAGCCTCGCTGCTGGAGCAAGAAGGCCTTCTGCAGGTCACTGAACTTTTTCTTCTCGTCCAGCGCCTCCTCTGGCGTCGGCGGGGAGAAGCGAACCTCCCCCGTCGCCGACGACACCACTACGCTTTTTCCCGATCTTGTGGTGGCGCGCTGCCACTCCGCCAGGAACACCTCCCGGCGGATGCGCTCGTCGAAGGCGCGCTCATCCTCCGTCTCCTGGAGCGCGCTCCCGTCTAGCTGGACGCGGTGGCCGCTCTCCTGCTCCCCCTTGTCCTTCGTCTCCTCCTTGTCCTTCGTCTTCTCCTCCTCCTCCTTGTCCTTCGTCTCCTCCTCCTTCTCCCTGCCCCCCTTGTCCTTGCCCTCCCCGTGCTCGCCCTTGTTCTTCGTCTCCTCCTCCTTCTTGTCGTGGGTGTACGCGCCGCCGTGGTAAAAGCGGCACCGGTCGCCGTAGGAGCACCGGCCCCTGTTGTAGTCGCGGCACGGGGCCCGCCAGCCCGACTTCGCCCAGAAGTGCGGCGCGCCACCCTTGCGTTTGTTGCTCTCCTCCTTCTTGGCCGCGTAGCTCGCCGCCTCGTATCCCTTCCACTGCGTTGCCTTTTTCTCGGTGTCCTGGTCCTCCGTGTGTTGTTGGTGTCCCTCCTTCACGGGTTGGTTCTCCGTCAGTTTCCCCTTCTTCGCCGCCTTCTCCGTGCCCCTGTCCCAAGAAGGCGGCGCCTCCCTCTTCTTCTCCTTCTGGTCCCCCGTCTTCTTCTGGCCCCCCGTCTTTTTCTCCTTCTCCTGGTCCCCCGTCTTCTTCTGGTCCCCCGTCTTCTTCTCCTTCTCCTGGTCCCCCTTTTTCTTCTGGTTCACCGTGTTTTTCTCCTTCTCCTGGTCCCCCGTCTTCTTCTCCTTTTCCTTCCCCTTCTCCTTCGTCGCGCTGTGCTCCATGGCGTGTCCCCCTGTTTTCTGCTGGCTCTCCTTCATCCTGGCCTCCTCGACGGCGGGGTCGAACAGCCAGCCACCCTTGGGCGTGAAAGGCCTTCCCTGTGCGAGGGCCTCGGCCCATTGACGTTTCTGGCGCGTCACCTGCTTCTGGGTGGCCACCATCGCTGTCTAAAGGGCGCCCTTTGGAGTGGTTGGCTGGTGCTTTGGTAGTACCAAAAACTGCTATAGAATCCCCCCTCTCTCATCATCATCTCCCTCCTGGCGGTAGATCCTCATCCTCATATTCCTCCTCCTCCTCCTCCTCCTCCTCCTCCTCCTCCTCAAGGAATGTTATTGTAAACCCACTACAAAGCCGAAGCACGACCCAGAGGAAGCGCACGAAGACAAGAGAAGAGAACAGGAGGAGGAGATTTGAGGAAGAAAGGAGGAGGAGGAGGGGAAGACTGGAACAGGGCATGGAAAGAGTAGATCTTGGGAGGGGGTGTGAGCTATATATATATATATATATATATATATATATATATATATATAGATGTATATACGTATATAAGCAAGTATGCACACATCGTGCGCTTTGCACGAGTATGGCTTTGGCAATGACGCCCCTTTCCTGGTTCAAAAAAAACATCCACGACGGCCCAAGCGGCCCCCGAGATCGCTCGAGGACAGCCCCCGGGGCTCACAGGAGGTCCAAGACTGCCCCCAGGGTGGCCCCACAAAAACGCGCCACCGCCGATCTGCTGGAAGCCTCCTGTCCAAGATTGGCCCGATCCTGCCAACTGAGCGACGACAAGAAACAACCCTTACGCGAGGTGGCATCGCGACCTTACGCGTTCGCTTACGCGGGCCGGCAGCGCGCCACGCCACATTGGAAACGAGGGCATTTACGCGCCATCTTACGCAAGCAGCTTACGCGCGAATGTCAGCGCAATCGAACCGGTTTTTCTGCGTCGCTCAATGGTCCCCCAGGCGGTCCCGAAGAGGCCTCCAGAAACTCCCAAGAGGCTCCCAGGAAGCTTCGAGAGCCCCCGCCCCAACAGGCTCGCCAGGCGAAAGCCCTCGAGAAGTCTTCAGCAGGGCGAAGGGCCCACGACCCGGGCACGGCGGCGGGATGGGCTGAAGGCCCCTGCACGAGAACAACTGCAGCCCCCGCCCCGCACAGCAGCCGAGGGAGCTTCTGCTCCAGGCTCTGGAGCGACACGGGCGGGGAGGAATCCTCGGGATCCTTGGAGCGTGGTCGAAACGACTTGAGAATTCTGGCCAACGCCCTCCCATAGCTCTTCGATTTGTTATGGTACAGTGAGTCTTCTCCGAAATCGGACCCGTCACAAGTGTATGTGTCGGAGATTCGGTGCCCTTGATCCTCCCCGTGCTCGATCCGGACGGAGGTCCCCCCACAGCTGACCACGCGCACTGCAGGCGTGCTGACCACAGACGCTGCGGGCGCCTCGCTCCAGGCCGCACTGCCCTGGTGCCCCTCCCCTCGGGGGGTGTCAACGGACCACCTCGCCGAGGCCTGGCCAGGCCCATCCCTGGGGGCCAGGGTCGCCGATCCGCGGTCCTTCCGGCTGAGCCGCGAAGGCACGGCACCAGGTGCGCCGACGAGGGGGTCCAGCGGACGTGGGAGGAGGAGGAGGAGGAGGAGAAGGAGGAAGAAGAAGAAGACAAAATAATAATAATGATAATAATAATAATAAGAATAATAATAATAATACGAATCATACTAATAATACTAATAATAATAATGCTCATAATAAAAATAATAAATAAATAAGAATAATAATAAGAATCGTAAGAGAAAGAATAAGCATACGAAGAATAATAACAATAATAATACGAAGAACAAGAATAATACGAATAATAATAATAATAATAAACAACTAATAATACGAATAATGCTAATACGCATAATAATAAGGCACATAAGGATAAGACGAGGAATACTGATAATAATAATAATAATAATAATAATAAGAACAATAATAATAAACATACTCATAATAATACGAATACTACTAATAATAAGAAAACGAAACATAATATTAATAATAAAAATAATCATACGAATAATAAAAATAATATGAATAACAATACTAATATAAATGATAATGATAGTAACAATGATAAGAATAATAATACTAATACGAATATTAAGAAGAAACAGACTAATCATACGAATAATAATCATAAGACGAGGGATAAGAATAAGACTAATAATAATAATAATACTGAGAAGAAGAAGACTATGAAGAATAATAATAAGAATAATAAGAAGAAGAGGAGGACGAGGAGGAGGAGGAGGAGGAGGAGGAGGGGGAAGAGGAGGAGGAGGAGGAGGAGCAGGAGGATGAGGAGGAGGAGGAGGAGGAGGCGGAGGGGGAGGGGGAGGAGGGGGAGGAGGCGGGTCGTGTGCGCGGACGCAGTCGGGGGCCAGCGGATGCGCCGAGAGGAGCACAGGGGGCCACGAAGTCTGGGTGATAAGATGCAGTCGCACCTGGGGCGGAAAAACATGCCTCAAGAACATGAGACCCTCCGTGGGCCAAAACGCACAGAATGAACAAAAATGTTCCTGGCGAAGGACTCAACCATATGCAGTTGTGAGTGCCGCAGATCCCACAGGTCCTACAGGTCCCACAGGACTCGCAGGCCAAACAGGCCCCGCAGGTCCAACAGATCCCACAGGTCCCACAAATCCAGCAAGGCCCGCGGGCCTCGCAGGTCCCAACAGGGCCGAGGAGTCGCGCAGACCCCAAAGGTCTCACAAGTCCCACAAGCACCACAGGCCCCACAAGTTCCCACAAGTTCTGCAAGTCCCACTGGCCCCACGCGTCTCCCAGGACCCGCATGTCTCGCCGGTCCGAAGGGCCGAGACGTCGCGCAAGTCCCACAGGTCTCACATGTCCCACAAGTCCCGCCGGTCCCGCAGGTCCCACGGGTCCCACAGGTCCCACAGGTCCTCCAGGTCCCACAAGCCCCACAGGTCTCGTAGGTCCCGCAAGTACTCAACAGGTTCAGAGACGAGGGAAAATCGGGCGGAAACCGAGTGCTGGGGCAGAATTACCCAGTGGATGTCGAACCTGATTGGGTGCCATCGGGCGGCAATTGCCAAATAGCGTTGGCAAACTGTGCCGCTCGGGCAGATCCCCCTCCCGAAAGGGGGGGGAGCGGCGCCCTGGGGGCCTCTCTTTGCTGAGGGGAGGGTGGTCGGCCAGACCGAGACGCCTCCAAAACAGGAGGTTGGAGGGGGGGAGGCAAGTGTTGGCGCCAAAGCTAAGCAGTGGCAAGAGATGTGGCGAGAACGCATGTCGTCTTCGTCGTGGTCGCCGTAGTCACCGTGGTCGTCGTCGTCGTCGTCGTCGTCGTGGTCGTCGTGGTCGTCGTGGTCGTCGTGGTCGTCGTGGTCGTCGTGGTCGTCGTGGTCGTCGTCGACGTCGTCGCGTCTTCGTCGTCGACGACAACGACGTCGACGTCGACGTCGGCTTCAACTTCGGCTGCGACATCGACGTCGTCGTCGACGCCGACGTCGTCGTCGTCATCGTCTCGTACGTCGTTCCTGACCAAAACGGGTGCATTTTGGGCTCCATGGGGCCGCGACCGCGCCCGTCGTTGTCGGACGCATCCCCGTATTGGGCGGGGGCGCGCTCGATGTGTAAATTCACACATGGGGCGCACTTTTCGTTGTTTGGCGAAGCTGCTCAAAGATTGGGTGGGCGGCGGGTCCAATACGTAAATTCCTTCGTGTGATGCAGTTCACATTGCCGGATATCCCATTTAACGATCGGGCATCGGCAAATTGGATGTGTAAACCCACACACTGAACGCATTTCGCATTCAGCGGCGTGCACAATTAACGATCGGCTGCTTTCGCGTTTGGCGGGGGGAAATGGGACAGGAACCGTCCATCGTTAAGTCCGACTGGTCGAATGGTTTCAATTCAATGATTTCACACAATTCTGCAGATGTAAAAATATTAATGTTGAGTTTCAGACTATGATTTAGCCATCGATGTTTCCCGCTCAATTTTCCCACACACCAAAAGCGACAACGTCCGATCGTTAAGTGGGCACGCCACTTAACGCGAAACGCGTTCAATGTATGAATGTACACATCAAACCTACCGCGGCCCGATCGTTAGGTGGGATCGCCACGCAACGTAAACTGTATCCTGTGCATTTACATACTGAACCCGCCCCCCGTCCGATCGTGGGCACAATTCGTTGGAAGATGTCCCACAAATCCGACAGGTCCCGCAGGTCTCGCAGGCCCCACAACTCCCACTGATCCTACAGGTCCCACAAATCCAACAAGGCCCGCAGGCCTCGCAAGCCCCGACAGGGCCGAGGAGTAGGCACAGACCCCAAAGGTCTCACAAGTCCAACACGCCCCACAGGTCTCGCAGGTTTTACACTTCCCACAATTCCGACAGGTCCCACAAATCCTACAAGTCCCAGTGGCCCCACGCGTCTCCCAGGTCCCGCATGTCTCGCCGGCCCGAAGAGGGCCGAGAAGTCGCGCAAGTCCCACAAGTCTCACATGTCCCACAGGTCCCACAGGTCCCGCAGGTCCCGCGGGTCCACAGGTCCCACAGGTCCTGCACGCCCCACAAACCCCACAGGTTTCGTAGGCCCCGCAAGTACTCAACAGGTTCAGAGACGAAGGAGACTCGCGCGGAAACCGAGTGCTTGGGCAGAATTACCCAGTGGATGTCGAACCTGATTGGGTGCGTTCCATCGAGCGGCAATTGCCAAATAGCGTTGGCAAACTGTGCCGCTCGGGCAGATCCCCCTCCCGAAAGGGGGGAGCGGCGCCCTGGGGGCCTCTCTTTGCTGAGGGGAGGGTGGTCGGCCAGACCGAGACGCCTCCAAAACAGGAGGTTGGAGGGGGGGAGGCAAGTGTTGGCGCCAAAGCTAAGCAGTGGCAAGAGATGTGGCGAGAACGCATGTCGTCTTCGTTGTGGTCGCAGTGGTCGCCGTGGTCGTCGTCGTCGCCGTCGTCGTCGTCGACAACGACGTCGACGTCGACGTCGTCGTCGTCGTCTCGTACGCCGTTCCTGACCAAAACGGGTGCGTTCTGGGCCCCATGGGGCCGCGACCGCGCCCGTCGTTGTCGGACGCATCCGCGTATTGGGCGGGGGCGCGCTCGATGTGTAAATTCACACATGGGGCGCACTTTTCGTTGTTTGGCGAAGCTGCTCAAGGATTGGGTATGGGGGCGGGTCCAGTATGTAAATTCACACATGTGGTGCAGTTTACGTTGCCCGGCGATCTCACTTAACGATCGGGCAGCGGCGAATTGGATGTGTAATTTCGCGTTCAGCGGCGTGCCCGCTGAAAGATCGGCAATTTGCGAGTTTGGTGTCTAAAATAACTCTGATTGAACGATCGATATTTCCCGTCCTACTTGTTTCATGCGCCAATCGTGACAACGCCCGATTGTTAAGTGGGCACGCCACTTAACGCGAAGTGTCTTAAGTGTATGAGTTTACACATCAAGCCTGCCGCGGCCCGATCGTTATGTGGGACCGCCAGGCAACGTAAACTGCATCCTGTGTGTGAATTTGAATACTGAACCCGCCCCCCGCCCGATCGTGGGCACGGTTCGTTGGACGACGTCCCACAAGTCCGACCAGTTTCGCACGCCCCACAAGTCCATCAGATCCCACAGGTCCCAAAAATCCAGCAAGGCCTGCAGGCCTCGCAAGTCCCGACAGGGCCGAAAAGTCGCGCAGGCCCCGAAGGTCTCGCAGGTCCCACAAGGCCCACAGGTCGCGCAGGTCCCACAACTCAAAAACAGGTCCCACAGGCCCTACAAGTCCCAATGGCCCCACTCGTCTCCCAGGTCCCGCATGTCTCGCCGGCCCGAAGAGGGCCGAGAAGTCGCGCAGGTCCCACAGGTCTCACAAATCCCACAGGTCCCACAGGTCCCGCAGGTCCCACGGGTCCCACAGGTCCCACAGGTCCTGCACGCCCCACAAACCCCACAATTTTCGTAGGCCCCGCAACTACTCAACAGGTTCAGAGACGAGGGAGAATCGCGCGGAAACCGAATCCTTGGGCAGAATTGCCCAATGGATGTCGAACCTGCTTGGGTGCGTTCCATCGGGCGGTAATTGCCAAATAGCGTTGGCAAACTGTGCCGCTCAGGCAGATCCCCCTCCCGAAAGGGGGGAAGCGGCGCCCTGGGGGCCTCTCTTTGCTGAGGGGAGGGTGGTCGGCCAGACCGAGACGCCTCCAAAACAGGAGGTTGGAGGGGGGGAGGCAAGTGTTGGCGCCAAAGCTAAGCAGTGGCAAGAAATGTGGCGAGAACGCATGTCGTCTTCGTCGTGGTCGCAGTGGTCGCCGTGGTCGTCGTCGTCGCCGTCGTCGTCGTCGTCGTCGCGTCGTCGTCGACAACGACGTCGACGTCGTCGTCGTCGCCATCGTCTCGTACGCCGCCCCTGACCAAAACGGGCGCGTTCTGGGCCCCATGGGGCCGCGACCGCG